TATACTCATTAATATTTGTAGAGGTTATATTCAACCACTGACAGCATACGGTAGATGAATTTGAAGAACTGTGGACATTACAAGCAGCTGAATCAATACAAAACTCATCAACAAGAACTGTTGATACTGATTTTTAAGATAGCAAGATACTTTTATTTAACCATGATTGAAACAAGTCTTATGTGCTTCTGTAGCTCTTAAATCTTTTACGAAATTACATTCCTCGAAAGGAAATAGGGATTAATTATTATCATAACTGCTATAATTTTAATATTGAATTAAATTATTTAAAAATAGACCTACTACATTTGTTTTCGTGAAAGTATTTGTACTGTTCTTGTGTCTGACTTAGGCTTGTCCTTTTATGTCTAGGACCTAATTCTGTATTTCGGAACCGAATTATTACTGTTGATTTTTATATAAAATAAAATAAATATGTGGTATTACAGCCAATTCGCACCTAGTATAACTGGAGACCTGTTTAACTATACACTTTTATTATTTTAAATATTTAAATGATCATCATTATAACTGTTTTCATTATTATGAAACGTACAGCATTTTAACAATTTTGCTGTTTTATTTGAATACCTGTCTATAAATTGTTTTACTAATTCATCATAAGAGCAGCGACTTTTTAATAAAATAATACCGTTCTCTAGATGACTTGTTCGTTGTCGTCACCACAACCGCCGATGACTGTGTAGTAATATTATGGAGTTAATGTAATCTCTGTTTTCACCAAAGTTTTTTAACGTCAAAATTTTAGAATATAGCAGCTTGTTAATGAAAGAAGTGTGTTAAAATTAATTTTGTAGTTAACTTTAAGTTTTCTATACATATACACCTTCTGTGACTCGACAGCTTCACATGAAACAATGTTTGGATTAAAATGAAACTGAAATTACAGAACTAAATTAAGAGAGGTATAGTACCGCTGTAACAGTATTAATGTACTAAGGCTTAACACGTCTTAACCGAATAATTAAGTACTAGTAATCCAACTTAGGAAAAAAGAGTGGCATGGAAACCCAAAGCCTTTACTCTAATGGAAACAAATGAAAGTAATAATTAACTACCTAGAGTTTCGACAGGAGCAACACATCACGGTTGCTGTCAGGAATCCAGCACTGATAGATTATTACAGTATTTTAACACAGTCAATATAGGGCTTACTTTAATTACGACAATATCAGATATATGATACTAGCTGTCTGTATTAGCAATCTGCCCTTGTAATTATTATTGCGGGGAATTTTTAGTTCCGAAATGAAACTAAAGACAAGTAGTGCTGATAAAACTATAAAAAGGAATAATATATTGGAGGAATAACTTAATTCTGTGATACAAACCGCCAGATGTATTTATCGGCCGAACATTTTTTATGTGCTATACTACGTCACTGTTCAGGATGATTCGAGAGTCTAAGAAGCCAAGGGTGTGCTAATTCTATTGGCTCTTTCCGAAAAAAAAAATTGATAGGCATTGCGGACACTGCCGCAGTTATTTTCGTGAAAACATCAATCGTGTATAGTATATTGAAATTAAACAAAATTCATAAATGTTCTTTTATATTATTTTTTCTTAACGAAAATATTAGTTAATAATTAATAGTTTAACTTAGGGATATTGTAAATATAATCATTTTTATAAATGATTATTTATTAATTGGTATACATCCATACTTGACCCAGGCTCGTCAGATGCCGCCTGAGTTGTCCGAGCGCGCTTACGTTGCCTATATTCGCGGCAGTACTGCTCGTTGGTGTTGGGTCAGGCCCGCCGTTTTCGGTGTCATTCTCTTTGGAATTTTGTGCTCTACGCATTCGTGCCCGATTTTTGTAATTCCGGTTTTACTTTGCCATCATATATCGCGACATTTCGGGAAATTTTCAAACTTTTTCAAATTCACAGCCTCGTTTCTTTTTGAGTTTTTGAGATACACACTTAGAGGCCAGGATGAGTTGTGACATATACACTCCTCTTCAAAACAACACTTGGTTCACTCGGATCGGATAATTAGTCTCTGAGATATGATCCCGTTTATGGACACGTGTCGAATCCGGAAAGTCGAAAATCGTGGGCTCAGTTTGCGCGTGAGCAGTTCGCGACGTCCGGCCGCCACTAATATCGGAGCGGTACTGACACAAACATGCATCCGTCCTCTTTAAAACGAGACTAAGATGGAGGCCCTATGTCTATTTGTAGCCGTGTTATTGAAGTTTGAAATTACTTCGACAGAAACTGTCGCTCATTTGGGCTCGATTGCCTCCCCACACCCGGCATCGATTTTAAAGACGTTTTCACGTCAAAAAATCACAAAAATATATTCTGTAGTCCTAGTTCTGTTTGTGTCTTCACCTTAATAACTTGTGGAGAGGAAAGGCTTTTAATTAAAGCAAGAGAGGCATTTTAATTCCTATATTGAATACTAACAGGGCGAGTAAGAAAATACACATTTTTGAGGGGATGGTAACGTCATAAATTATCATCGCTTTGGAATCATTTAGGTCCATAACTTTACAAAATTTAGGAAATTTTCTCTTCATTATTAATTTCTAGACGCTCAGGTAAAGTGGGCGTAGGAAGGCTTAGTATCGAAGGCTTCAAGCTTCGTTGTGGGCAAATTATCCCCACCACAAAAAGTAAACAAAGAGATAGCAAGAGGCTTCTTGATGAATACGCTAAGGAGCGAAACTCGATTAAGAATGAGGCATAAAATTACGCAGATTAATTACTAATGCTCTTCATGTTTATTAGGTATGTAATTAAGTATTCCCCAAAGGAATATTTTATTCTCAATGTGTGGTATTTTCTGTGGCTTTATATCTTATTACCATATACAAGGTCAAGAACATTTTTACTGGATGTCAGCTACAAATATTTATGCCAGTTTCTGGTGTCTATGTCGTAAAAAGAGGGGCATAATACATTTTCCTCCGTACATAATACCTTTCAGGAAAAAAGTCACGAATATTTAGACCATAAGAAGGGTGAAAGAGGGTGGTCTTGGAACTATTAACATATGTAAACTGCGTGCCACAAAACAATTTTTTTAAGTATAATTAGAAATAGATCCACATGATAATATTTGTTTGATAACCTATATACTACGTGTTACAGCACTGTTAATTTACGTCATTTCCTAAGAGAATGGAAGAGTTATTTCAATCTTTATTTAATTCATGGAACAAAACGTATGTCAAGGAGCTGAACATTCAATGTGAGATTATGAAATTGTCTTAATTGTTAACTTTATTTATTTATTATAATGTAATACGGGTGCAAGAAGCAGGTGATAGTACGTTGTGCCTTGTTCGTTTTGTATATGGTGATTTATCGATTAACGTGTGTTTCCCTGTAATCTATTCATGTCTCTCGTTTGCTTCTCAAACTCTATAGTCTACACCAAAGTAAGCATGCTCGCATTTAAAAGGGAAAAAATGTAATGTTTTTAAACGCATCAAAGCTACTTTCAGGTTTGCAAAATGTGACTGCATGTATTCATTATTCTTATGAATTGATAACTCCAGGAATTACGTTTCTGTACTAACCTGTATATAGGCCTAACTCTTGTAATAAAGCTGACAAAAACTGTATATACTTACATACGTGAACACATCCTGGATAATAATGGCATGCCGTGAATTTTATGCAGATAGGACTTCTTCTCAATTTCAGTTTTTTAACTTTCTAACTTTTTGTATATTTAAAACAACCCGCGAAAACGTTTTATCAATAGAAAACATTTTAACTATAAAAATATTTTTCACGCTGTTTAACTGATAAGAAGATACACTTCTGATCGCGAAACTTGATACTTTAAAGAGAAGTGTAATATATCACATAAATGAAGCTTTACAACCACATAATCTTCACTAAATCTTAGTTACGATATGCTCTGTAAGGTTTTATTTTCCTTGTTATTCAATGCTAACATCGCTGCTCTAAAACTGAAGAAGCAATGAACATAATTGTACGTCTAAGACCGGAATTCGATAGTCAACCTTTTCTTTATAGAGAGCGCGATGTCATATCTTTCTATAAGGAATGTTGGTTAGTAGATTAGGTGATTGGTGATAATTTGTTTTTAAAGTATTTTAGACCATGTGTAATAACAAAATGTGTGTGTTGTTACAACCGTTGCCATACTAATGCTATTTAGGGTTTTTGAGCAATATATAATATTTTTATGATTATATGTGATTACTACTTTAAATTCTTCCGGGATTCTTAGCGGAAAATTTACTAGTCGGCATAGCTTACATTGTGTAGGAATACAATATCTTAATTTTATGTTCTTTTGGGAATTAGTCTAGGCTATTTAAGTACATAAATCTGATTTATGTGAAACATATTCTAAAATGAAATATTATTTGGCTGCTTATAATGTTAAAACGGATTTGAAATAATAAAGACCGTTTAGAGAATTATAAAATCAATACACGTCTAGGTTTTAATGTATTTCAGCCCATACATTGAAATTTTTATGGACCAAAGTTTACTGAATATAGCAAGCCCAGAATTTCATAGAATGTCACATTCTTCACTGAGTACATATAGCAGTAGTCAATTATTGACAAAACCAAAATTAAATACTAATTAATAGCTTTTTGTCTAAAATGTCCTCTTTATTCATTCCTGATACACCAACAACTTTACGTAATTACGACATTATTTTATTTGTTCCGTATTTTACAACGTAATAATAACAAAGACGACTGGTTACATTAATAAATACAACTTCTGAAATAAATATAATTCTAATATTTTAAATTCATAAAGAAACATCAACACAGAACAAAGATTGATTCTACGAAGACTGATGGCAATACGAGTATGTATGTACATGTCATTGATCCGAATAAATGGTTGTTAACACTTTTAAGTGGAATAAAGGCCATTCTCATCTCTTCCTTAAAATACGACTCACTTATCGAATAGGTGCTGAAAATCTGAAAACCTTCAATACTGCAAATAAAAAGTACTTTAAATGTAGATTACCATGCGTTTAGGACCTTTGTCTCATTCCCTCTACAGGAAATAGCAGCATGACCAGATTGGTCAAACTGCAGCAGCACTATCATGAACGTCACGATGGTAGACGCATACTGAAACAGACAACAGTTTTTATGTAAGATTTGAGGTTTGTATAATTTGCAGCATTCGAATGTTTCTTCATTGACCGACTGACAGGTAACGTGATGTAAAAAAGAGCAATTTCTTATACGGAAATAATAACATTAGTAACCCTGGTGTGAGCCAGACCGCATAATTAAGTGCATTATCAGGTATATAAGCAAATTTTAAATTTGAAATTGTACGAGGTGCGATCGGAAAGTTTCAAGACTGCGCCTATAAAAACCCGTACACTTATCTCAGGTATTAAATTCATCCATCACCCTCGAAGTAGTTCCTCTGGGAGTGAACACAACGATCCCAGCGCCGCTGCCAAGCCTGGAAGCTTCCCTGGAAATATTTCTTTGTCAGCCTGTCAAGCACCATCTGCGATTCTGCCTGAATCTCTTCTATCGTCTTAAATCTCCTTCCCTTTAGCTGAATTTTCATCTTTGGGAAGAGGAAGAAGTCACACGGAGCTAAATCCGGCGAATAAGGAGGGTGCGGGGTGACGGCCATGGTGTTTGAGGCCAAAAACTGCCGAACTTTGAGGGCGGTGTGCGCTGGCGCGTTTTCATGATGCGTAGCATGTGGAGTTCTTCCTTTAGAATCAGCTGACAGGTCCCATAGCCTATCCCAACAATGTCGCACAAGTCGTTGATGGTACGACGTCGATCTTCGTGAATGGCCTGCCGAATCTTCGTAACATTTTCGGGCGTTGTGCTCGAAGATGGTCGTCCAGAACGCTCGTCATCAGCGACAGAGGTTCGGCCATTTTTAAAACGTGAATGCCACACAAAAGTTGGTGCACGACCCATTGCGGACTCCCCAAAAGCTTGCTTTAGCATTTCATAGGTTTCCATAGCCGTTCCTAAAGGCAGAAGCTCGTACTACATCCGGTTCGCCCTCTATTGGCACAGTCTAGAAACTTTCCGATCGCACCTCGTATGTGTCACTGAGACACATATTTGGAAAGAAATATGCTGCCTGGAACATTATCCTGCTTTGTGAGAAATTTAACTGATTTTGAAATAAACCAGGTTTTGAAAGGTGTAATTTACAAAGCATACAAAAGTTGCAAACATGTCCTTTACGCCACTTCTGATGGGTAGGACATCAAACACTTCGGTTGGACACTGATGCACATCAGGGCGGGTAGTTAATATGATTATTGGTAGATGGCAGCTCTATCGGCTAATCGATGCTACATTCACACGGATGGGCATTTCAGGGGCGAGATAAGTGTGATCTGACCCCTGGACTTGGCCACTGCGACATATCACAAGTTGGTTGAAGTCCCATAAATAGCAATCATGGAGACTATGCCTTGCTGAGGGGATTCCCGGAGATGGAAGCCCCGGTGTTAAGAAACCTCGCTGTGCAAATCCCTGGTCTCATTTCCCTGATGATGGAGACAGCAAGAACCTCTGAAAAGTTGGTACAGTAGACTACAATGCCTACTACCCAGACGACAGTCGTATGGCTTTCCAAGTTTTGTTCGCACTAGCACATTATAAAGAACGCTTGACACGTGACAATACAATTCAGTGAGTGGAAGTAAAAAATGGAACTTGTGACGCCAAGTAAAATCGCATAACAATCTTACTTAATTTGTTTTAAATCGTCAGTCTAATCACAATAAAATTCCTATTAATTATTAAAATATTACCATAATTAACATCTAAATATTTAAAATATATTAAATGATATTCTCTATCGAAATGTTCGATTTACATTAGAATATCACTTTTTACACGACATGTTTCAGTTCTAAAAGAACCATCTTCAGGTGTATAAAATTATATAAAGTTAAATATAATTTCTTAATGCAACTTTTAATCACATGTTTATTAGATTTCAAATGATGTTTTCTTCCAGATTTTATTGTATTTTTTAATATCGTATTTGAAGTTGTTCTGTATGTACGTCGTGCTTAATATGATTTTGTGTGGGTGAACGTTTTGTTGTTGTTTTGTATCATCCTGTAAAGTAAATAATATAAATAATATAAAGACTAAATGAATATTAATAAATTAGAAATAGAAAATAAAATAATATATTGATAAATTTAATTTTGAAACATACCAGAAATGAAGTTGTGGAGGAGTTACTTCCGTCTGGAAGTATTGCAGTGTTTGAACTGAATAGTGTTTATTATTTATCGTGGTTGTTTGTAGGGAGGGTTGTAAGTGAAAGGAGGTTGTTGGGGGTGGAGTTAAATATTTGAAGGGAATTAAAGATTGGGTTATTAAGATAAATATTATTGTCATTCAAGCAAATATTTTGTTTGAATGTTTGTTGTATGTACTTAAACATCAAACAATGCATACAATGTTAATATGGCTTTGGGTGATTGTCCCTACGACGTAGCGAAACTTAAAGACTCAACTTCCTACCGTGAGGAAGCAAGGGAACGAGATTGTATTGTGCAAGAGTCGAAGGCTCGCGCTGAAGGGGAGGGCTCGCCTCCCCCCCGGCTAGTGGAATGTTCCGGACGCCGTATTCCCCTCCCGGGGAACCTTCCAGAAAGCTTGCTTCTGGTACCTTCGGTAAGTGTTCAACGCGGTCCTCCGCAGGCAGCACTTCCCCTCGGCATGGAAACACGCTCGCGCGGTGTCCATACTGAAACCTGAGAAGCACCCCACGCTGCCTTCTTCCTACAGACCCATCAGTCTGCTTGACACGGTCGGCAAGCTCTGAGAGAATATCCTATTAACAAGGGTCCTACACGAGGTGAACGAACGCGGGCTCCTGCGACGAGCAGTTTGGGTTCCGAACCAGACACAGCACGACGATGCAGATGGCTCGCCTAGTTGAAAGGGTCAACTGGAACTTTGACGAGAGGCGGCTAACCTGAGCGGTTTTCCTGGACGTGGCCAAAGCCTTCGACAAGGTTTGGGTCAAAGGCCTCCCCTACAAGCTAACTGGTGAAAACCATCTCATCCTACCTTTCTAGCCGGACATTACAAACGTCCTTCCAGTCGGCCACGTCCATACGTCGTGCCATGCGGGCTGGAGTTGTTCAGGGCGGTCTCCCCTGTGCTCTCCAGTCTGTATGTTAACAACATACCTACACCCTCCCGCCACGTCGAGTTAGCACAGTACGCGGATGACACGGCTCTCGTTGCCCTTAGTTCAACGCTTCTCGTGGGTTATCTGGAGGCCTACCTCGGTAGACTGGAGTTCTGGCTCAGGACCTGGAGGATTGCTATCAACGTCACGAAGAGTACCGCGGTTCTCTTTGTTAAGTCCGCCCAGAGCAGTGCAGTTTCTTGGACAGCCGATACAATGGGTCAAAACAGCGCGGTATCTGGGGGTCACCCTTGATACCGGGCTTACCTGGTCGGCGCACGTCAACCAAATGGGAAAGAAGGCAGCGCAACGATCGGGCGTGCTAGGCACGCTCCTTAATAGGAGAAGTGGTCTGTCCATCAGAAACGGTGTGCTGATCCATAAGCAGATCGTCCGTCCTATGATGGATTACGCATGCCCGATCTGGAGGTCAGCTGCCAGCAGCCACATCAGGAAGCTGCACGTGTTGCAATCCAAGCGACCTCGCATTGCGACTAACGCGCCTTGGTACGTTAGTAACGAAGATTTAGGGATCCCGCTCTTTGCCGACCACATCAGAGCACTGACTGAGAGATTTGACTAAAAGTCAGCTGGCGTGGGAAACCCCTTAGTCCGGCAACTCGGGAGGCACTTGTGCCGAACGAGGGTTGACAGAGGTCACCCAAGGGCAACCGAGGGGGATTGATGTTCAGCAGATCAGCCGAGGCTGTCCCTGAAAAGACGGCCAAGTCGGCGCAACGAGTGGTCTGACCACTCGGCTACCCTGACTGAGGTTTTCCGTGATTTTACTCAGTTGTAAAGCAAATTCCAGGGTATAATTCAAGAGGGGCACGGCCCGCTACCCTCAATCACGGAGGCCTTCAGCCGAAGCGGCCCCACCCTCTCTGGGGTCAAACCCCAGAGAACCAACCAAATTCTTTTGGACAAGTTGCCTGACAGGATAACCTCCCATCAGCAGCAACAGACCCTAGTTTGAATGGACGAGGCTCCCGCCACGACGAAACCCCGTTAGCATAAGAAAATTCCCGTGTTAGTTATAAGGCTCTGTTTACCATTTCCAGCAATGCGTTTCGTACGCAGGAATGGTGTTACCTAGCAAGGGACGAAGTCTTGCGCTTCCGCAGGATTCCGCCCTTAGTTAGCTTTTTGGTTGGTTGGTTGTTGGATAGTGGATGGCGACTGAAGCGAAGAGCGCGGAAAAGTGAGTCTTGTGTGGGGTCTCTAATGGAAGTGTGCGGATTTTGTGAAGAGAGTGCGGAACCATTGAGCGGGTCTGGTGTGGCGCTGAGCGAGGAGTGAGGATCGGCTACGTGTGAGGAGCACCGGGTTCGTGGTCCGTGGCGGCTGGGAGCCAGCGTGTGTCCAATGGGGTGCTACGGGCAGGGGACTGTGTGTGTGTGTTAGTGGAAAGCGCCGAGTTTGGGGGACCAGAGCGGCTCGAAGGACAGTGCGTGTGAGATGTGTGTGTGTGCCAAATGTAGAGATAGAGACCCAGAAACCGTAGTTGGGGAGTCGCCTGTAAGTTTAGACTCTGTAAACTGATTAAATCAGGATTGACTTAGTGTCCCTACGTCACAATATATTACTAACTACAGTTTCAATTATTCTTTTGCTTACCGCTCTGAAGAGTCCTCTATCAACATTCGCAAAGCCTGCTACAGATACTACAGGTGGATTCATGGATATTGTATCCAAAAACATGTTTACCTGTAACAAGAAACAATTGAAAATAGCATCATAGGGCTAATAGTTCTCTGGGCATTTCGGAAAGAAGCAACAAGTCACGGACATTTTATCCGTGAGAAGCATAGCGATTTTGTATAACTTTAAGTCCGATCGAAGTAAACATGCATTTAACTTTATTATTGTTCCAATAATTCCATGGTGTTTGTGAACAAATGGCAGTCTCCTAGAAGCGTTATACTACAGACTTGGTGAAATTAGAAACGTATGAAAAAATATAACAAAACTACCCGCAAGATGCATTGTTTGATCTGCTCACCTCGTGAAAGACATCTTTAGTGACTTCAGATGGCGCAATCAGTTGCAATTCATCTCGAATTTCAACCCCTACCTGCAAGAAACACAAATGGATAGGTCCAATCTCAACACATTATAAGTTACACATAATATACATGATTGGAAACTTTTACTCTTTAAAGTACACAGAAATGCCATAAGTGCTGCTCATCACGGGCACTGAGAGTATTACAAATGCAACATTATTATCAAGATCATTGTTGTAGCAATGCAATCTAACAGTGACATCTGTTCACATTCTTTGAAACAGGGGAGTAGAAGAAGGAATTTAAATTCTCACGACGGTGATTTCGAAGATGGCTGTCTTCTGGGTTATAGTGCTGAAAAGTCTGGTAGAAGTTTACCGACGTTTTGTAGGCCCTTGCTGCCTGCATTATCAGCAACCTTGTGTTGGAGGCAGCAAGGACCTCTGAAACGTTGGTAAAATTCTGTCAGATTTCCACCACCCAGCAGACAGCCATCTTAGGAGATCAAAAGCATAGGGGTGTCCAGCCAGGTGGACAAGGTATGAGATATGAAAGTTGGGGGGCAGGTAAATGCTCCTGGAATATCAGTCTATGCTCTAGGGCCTTGACACTACTGAGAACGCATGCTGGGGAAATGCCTTTGAAGTAAAGCCTTAGGGGATACAGTTCCTTGGATGGCCAGCTTCTGGTGCTCTACTCTGTGACTTTCAAGATCAACAATAGCAGAAATATGGATTTTAAAATCCGAGGGGAGGGGAGGATGCATGACAGTTGAGGCTCGACGAAGGCAAACACCCTGGAGAAGAAGCGGACATGATTTTAAATAGCAAGTAGGCTAAAGAAGAAAGCATAATATAGCTTTAGAAATGTCGTATTTATATTATTTTATTATTCACACGATGCATAAATTCTAAAAGAACAATTTTGCACATTACAACGCACAATTGTCAGGAACCATCAGACTTCGTCTCTATTCGCCTTGTTTAGAAGTAAAGTCATGGTCGGAGAAATTTGAGAAGCTAGTATTGGATTAACTTACTTACTTAGGCGACCCGTTCTTCAGTGCCTTGAGCATCTGCGAGTCCCAACATTTTGTTGGCTTTGATTTATTAGATAGTTGGTAGGACTCCTTGGACGAGGGATCGGCCCGTCGCAAGGCCTCTACCTATACACAGGACAGCATGACACAAAAAGACGCGGACAAACATCCATGGCTTGAGTGGGATTCGAACCCACGGTCCCAGTGACCACGCGGCCACTGTGACCGCTGTTGGATTAAATGGCAAAGATTTTTTCCTCCTTCTGTGAAATTCGGAGAATTATAACCTGTTACATTTACTGCTCATATCGTAATAATTCTACTAATATTTAGTAAAGGTGCATATCATGAAGTTTGCCATGATCTGCTACTATCAAGTCTCCTCTTGTGTCTTGTCTCTTTGTCTTGTTGACAGCGTTCAACAGTGATTTCAGATTTATTTCCAAATGTTTTTATTTCTGATCAGATCCACTCGATCTATCTCAGGTATGTTTTGTGACAAACATTGCATTTAAAACGGTTATATCTTTCAGGAACGTGCTAAAATTTCCGCTTAAATGTTTACGCAGAATACCGGCTATAATGGGTAAATTATTATGCATTTACAAATAACATGAATAGATTTTCGCGGCTGGACTTCAATGAAAATTGCAGCCCGCTTTTTCGCTCCACCAATCAGTGCCATTAACTGCAAACCTCCACTGACCTGCCTGCCTATAAGGTTTAAAAGCGCTCTACTAAAACACATTCGCCATAGAGATGGCAATCACAGTGTTTATCAAAACGGTGGATAATTTTCTGTATTCAACTCGGCTCACTCCCAAAAGCCGTAGTTATATATTAAACATTTAGGGATTTATAGGATTTCAGGCTGTCATGGCGGTGAGTACGAAGATGGCTGTCTTCTGGGTTATGCACGACGCTACGAGCCAGAAACGGGCCATCTTCATAAGCATATTTCACTGCAATATTAATGCAAGCTTACAATGTTTGAAGAGTAGTAAGCGAGATTACAAAAGTGGTACAGGGCTGCAATACAGAAGAGGCTGAACACGCCCAAGCCAGTGTGTGCGAAGGTAATTTGCTTTTCGTCCATTTGAGATAGAAACCCGTACAGCGACATGGTGATCGCGAGCAACAGGAGGACGAGGTACAGACAGAACACCTTTCCCATCATGTAACCTGAAAAACGAAATAAGGACAACACAACAAATAAGAGTGTGCACAGAGTCCCTGAGAATTTAACATTGTCTTGGTTAGTCACTAAATAACAAGCACTTTCCGGAAACTAAACGCACATTATCATGAAGATGTGGACTGTCTTCTGAGATGTTGCATCGTGTAGTTTGGTAGAAGTTTAACTACGTTTCAGAGGTGCTTGTTATCTCCATCAACAAAGCGATCAGTATGGCCTTTGGACCTGATGATGGAGGTAGAGAGCACCTCCAGAAAACCTGGGAGAACATCCCAGAAGCCTGTCATCTCATTACTCGCCTCCGTGAAGACATATACATTCTGAGGTTCATGAACATTAAATACGATTACTTTTTAATGCACCAGTAAGCCCTGTTCTAAATTTATGGCCTACAGTGATCATTTTAAATTTACACTTTGTGTTCTGTGACAATTAGATTCTGCAGAGTATAATAAAATTTTGCATGTACCTATAACAAAGCGAGTGACGAAACAATTATTATATTTGTTCGCCTGTCTGAGGTCTGAGTTCCCACTCTGTAAAGCAAAGAAAATATTTGAAGTGTTCGTCGCAGGCGACTGACATTTTTGCCACGATTGGGTAGTATCGCTTTGACCTAAAGTTTGCATTTTGTGAACGTTATCACAGATCACGCGTGTTCTTAGTGAACTGAACGTACAATTTTTCCAACTGGTAAAGAATTTATACGGTGTAATATATTTAAGAAACAAACCCATATGTGAAACAAGTTGACTCCATCGCAGCCACAGGATTCTGTAACTCCTCATTAGATCGGCTGAAAATGTCCTCTGCCCTATATCACGCTGCAATCACAAGAATTAAAACATGTGAAATAATTTAAAGTAATGGAATTTAAAGGATAATGATAAGAATCTATTGTAAATAACTGAAGGTTGCGTGTTTCCTTACAGACTGTAATTTTCTGGGTTGTAACGCTGTGTAGTCTTGGTAGCAACTGACTACACGAGACACTACATAACTTTGTAACGCAGAAAACCACAATCTAAGTTTTCACCACACTAAGAACCTCAAATATTCCCTATGTATCCTCAATTATAAACTTTTCTAGAATTTTAAAAATGTGAAAAAGTCCGGTCGAAAAATCAATTTTACAAAACCTTTCCTGTAACAAAATTAATATACCTTACCGGGAGACATGGTTAATCTTATTGTCAATTTATTTCTTACATCTATGTCTAATTAAACGTAGTTATCAAATTGTTGAAAATTCTGCTTCGTGTTTGGATGCTCCAAAACCAGGTATAAAGTCAAGTTATGGGATTTCAAGTTCTCACGGCGGCGTATGTAAATACGTCTGTTTTATGGAATTTTGCACCGTCTGGTAGACGCCTACAAATATTTCAGACGTGCTTCATCATCAGAGAAATCGCCTAGATGATGGAGGCAGAAAGCACCTCTGAAACGTTGGTAAAATCATACCAGACTACAGGGCGCAACAACCCAGAAGACAATCATCTGAAACTTAAGTTATTATTGGTGATTTTAATTGCTCTGTTAGTAATAGGTTAATGCTGCGATGGCAGCCTACTTTCAGAGATGTATATGTAAATATTTGCTTAATTCAACATTCGCCCTTATCATTTCTTTGAACGCTTTATGATCTACGCATCTGAGAAAGCTGGGTTACATAAACCATGTAACTAACACAAAAGAAGTTTTATAGTATTAAACGCCGTAAAGAGAAATGTGAATGGAGGCACAAAATACGACGAAATTTAGTTATGAATGTACATAGTAATTAAGTCGTTTCTCACCTTGAAACACTTGTTCAGAATTGTGGCAGCTCTGATCAGACACCGAAACATGTTGCAGAAGAGGCTTATGACTAGACTCATCACCAATAAACACACAGCGTAGCAGGGTAGCTGCCAATATTGCAGATAAGGAGGGTAATCATGGAGCATCAACACCGATAATACCGCGACAGACGTAATAAAGATGCTGTAAACTAACCGTCTCTTAATATTTAGGACTAAGTTCTCTTCTGTTCCCGCTACAAACATCATCTGCAGAAGAATTAAAACAGTACTATGAAAAATGGCTATTAGTGGTTGTCTTTTCTTGCAACTATAACAGATGTACGGCGAACTACTGCGAGTAATTACAGAAAGGGACAATGATGTTATGAAAATTTATCACAAAATTATTATTTTGAATGTACAGCACAACGTGACAATACTATTACTTAGTTGATATAAATGGCACCGGTAATACCCAAAATCCGTCTAAATTTGTTTGTCTTGGACAAAAATAGAACTGCTATCACTCTTAAGATTTCTAAAGGTTCCTGGGCCGAATGTGAAGAGAGTATATGATTTTATTGGTTTTATTTAGCGATCCCTGACTTGTATCAGGGAAACCTTCTAAGCACTTGGCGGTGATTCATGCAGCTTCAGCCGGGAGCTGGGAAGAGACAGTTAAACGTTATCAATGAAGGCACTGCAGGGGAGCCCAGGGCAGAACGGGGCCACGAGGCAGGACTGGATATCTGCTTTATTTCGTCTGCAATGCGTTACGATCTATCGGGACCGGGTGAAATACCATTAACAAACAGCACAGGGCCATGTCATGTCAGTCAGCGCCATTTTGTTGTTGCAGTTTCTGAACTAATCACTCATGCTGGATTTTTCTCCTATATTTTACAAATATTTCTCAACTTCCAGTGAAGATAAGACCTATTCATTGTTGAATGATGCATGTTACAAGGTGTTTTCTTGAAAGTCTTAAACACAAACTTTTATTTATTTTCATGATATTATTTTTGGTGGGACAATCCTAATTTGAAAGAGTATACTCAGGGCAGAATGGGGTATCCAGGGAAGAGGATCAAATGACAAGTGCCTGTATTGTGGCGATGTCTATTCGTACTCTATTGAAGGGTGAATCCGGTGTTCATCTTGCTTGAAATGGCCCATAACTCATGTGCAGTTGTTGATAGTCACGATGACGAAGAGATGCACATGTGTTAGGCCTAAGAAGATTTCAAATGTGTAAAGTTTTGTCCTTTTGACAACGTAAAGTGGAATAAGGTGTTTGAAATCTTGGGGAAGGTAGGGCTGAAGTATAATGATAGACGAGTTATTTACAGTATTTATAAGCATCAGGTGGCCATAATAAAAGCGGAGAATGAAGAAAGACAGGCATTTACTAAAAAGGGAGTAAGACAAGGCTGCAGCCTATCGCCCCTGCTATTTAATTTGTGTGTTGAGGAAGTAATAAAGGAAGTGAAAGAAAATTTTGGGACAGGAATAAAAGTCCAAGGGGAGAGGATAAAAACGTCAAAGTTCGCTGATGATATTGCTCTTTTGGCTGAAAGGAAGGAAGATGTAGAAAAATTATTGAATGGTATGAACAGATTACTCAGCGAGCAATTCGGTTTAAGGATAAACAAAAGCAAGACAAAAGTTATGACGATCACCAGAAATGAGAATAATGATCCATTAAATATAAAAATTGGGAAAGACACAATAGAAGAAGTAAATGAATTCTGTTATTTAGGAAGCAAAATCACAAAAGATGGACGAAGCAAGGAAGACATTAAAAACAGATTAACACAAGCAAAAAAAGTCATCTTCTAAAAGAGAAGTCTACTAGTGTCAAACATTGACCTGGAATTAAGAAAGATTTTTCTGATGTTATATGTTTGGAGCACAGCGCTATACGGAAGGAAAACATGGTCAGGGGGAAAACCAAAAAGAAGAAGGATAGAAGCATTTAAAATGTGGTGCTATAGAAGGATTTTGAAAATTAAGTGGACTGATAAAGTACGAAATGAACTGGTCTTAGACAGGATAGGCGAAGGAAGAAGTCTCTGGAAAAATCTTACGAGAAGAAGAGATAGGATGTTGGGACACATTCTGAGGCACCCGAGATTGGTTAATTTGGTAATGGAAGGAACAGTTGAAGGGAAGAATTGTAGGGGGAGACAAAGATTGGAATATGTAGCGCAGATGTTTGAGAACGTGGGCTGCAAAAAATATATGGAAATTAAGATATTGGCGCAAGATAGGCGAAAATGGAGGACCGCATGAAACCAGTCGGAAGACTGATGACAAACAAAGAAACAAAAGTTTCGACATTTTGCATTGTATACTAAATCATTTGTATATCATACGTCATAATTATTAAATAATTTGTTTCATCTTATTACTTTTCAAACATATAACAACTATACCCTTTCTTGTCCCTGGCACTGGGAAAAATGGGGCAAGTTACATTCTTGTATTTAAAAAAACTATAACTCTTAGAACTAAACTAATAACTCTTTATAAATTTCAAATAGACAATAAATCCACGCAAGATTCCTCCATGTGTTTGTCTTTATTATTGTCCCTTCCACATGCCTCCAAAGATTAAGTTCCCCGTTCTGCCCCGTGTTCCACTAAATAAAATCTAAGGAAGCCTGAGTCTCTAAGAAAAGTAAACATCCCGCTGCATGCCTATGCAGACACTTGATGGGAGTGGAGGTATAGCTCTTACTCTTTTTTGTCCTCGGCACCAGATGAAGTGAGTGGTCAGCATCACGCCCCGGCCGTGCTTTACCCCCGGGAAAGGACCCCGGTACCCACTGGACAGGAGGCTAGGTAGGCCCCAGTCTGGACGCAGAGGATAGAGGAAAAATCCTCTGCCTCCGTCGGGGATCGGATCCCGATCATCCAGCCCGTAGCTAGTCACTATACTGACTGAGATATCCCGGCTCATAAGCCTGAGTCTCTACCTACCTGAAATTTCTCCCAATTCTTGAAGTAGTGCACGGCTTTCGGTGTATCGATACACGCCAACACAGGTACACATGTACAGTTGACCAAAATGACTATGAACATAGAACTGTAAATGGAGTCGCTGATATCATCGTCGTCCGTGAACAAGAGTAGAATTCTGTCTTTAACGCAGAAAAACGTTATTGTGTTGACCACTATATATAAACAAATGGAGTAGACTACGGCTGGAGACAGTGGTCGATATTTAGGGACACCTGCAACAAATTTACACTGGAGTAAGGAAATTTAAAATAACGCCAATTATGACAATTAATATTTTACCCATGAAATTCGTTACAACAATCACCTTCGCTCTACGCGCTTTCGCAGTTCAAGTTTCAGCATATCAGCGTTTTTATTTCATCGTCATGAGGAGCATCAATATCCTATCCGCGCGCGGCTACAGAAGAAGTTGCCGCGCTGTCCCACTTAGTAGTGTTCGCATTTTCACTAACTCGTCTCACCATTTTCATTCCGGAAAATGCAAATTAAGGGCTGTGGTCAGATTTTAGTTTCTCGCGCCTGCGAGGACAAAGATGGCGGTCATCTGGGTTGTTGCGCCGTGTACTCTTACAGACTTTGGCCAACGTTTCAGAAGTGTTTGCTGCCCCCATTATCAGGGCGATGACGATTTGGGCAGCAAGCACACAGATAATCCATGGACAGATAAAAGGTGCCATAAAGAAAATTCATAGTCAAACATATTTGTAAATAAGCTAAATCGGTGCTGAGAAGGGAGATTTTAAATGAATCTCTGGTGTTGTGAAATACAGTTAATTGATGGGTATTGTGTTAGCGATGTTGAAATTTGCCCCCTGATGCGATGTAATTAATTTTTGCACATAAGATACACGAGATTACTGAATGTTACTCTTCAAAATAAATTAATTTATAGTAAATAGTTCTCAAGTACAAAACCACACTTCTGTCCAGACAGTTCCTATCTATATTGTTCCTACAAATAACTTACTCTTCTCTGTAATAAGTGTCTCTGTGAAATTTAAATTTATGTTGCGATGAACATTACACAAACTTTCATCAAAGGATTTTTAATGTCTTAAAAATAAACTAGAGTATCAATTTGGTATGAATATAATAAAATGAAAGTGATTAGTTTCAGAAGAACAATTTTATTAAATAATGAATAGCCTATCAGCTGTCTTTGGAAACGGCAGAATCATAGGCGAATAAACAAACACAATTCTTTTTAAGAGTGCCGTAAAAATGCGAGATTGTCTTAGCACTGGAAATTATGAGAGCAGCATCACAAAGTTATGACGGCATCAGGGTTATTATGTGTGCATTAAGAATATTTACTCGCCTGATGCTGGAAAATCAACCGGAAAACACCCAAGCAGTCGCAGTGAAGTCAACAGTGGTTTAAATTGCTTGTGGCAAGCTTGTTCATCGTAATTCTCCCACATTTCCTCGCGAATTCTTATGCGAGCCACATTCGCTTGCCACGAATCGTCACTCATCTGGGAGATTGTGTTTATATTTTGTTTCAGCTTGATATCTTTATGAGTTCTGTTGTTGATAATAACATTTCTTCTCACAAACAGCTTCTCTTGTTTCATGTTTGAATGCATGTTCCAGCTGAGTGAGTATTAGGACGAATCAAGGAGTTTACGATTAGCTGTACGTCACACTTTGACACCCGATTGATATTAATAAGTTAAGAACGTTTACACAATACAGAAAACTTCTGAGGTCCAAAATTTAACAGCCTTTAGCGCAATACAAATAGAGTACGATGTTTATCAGCAATTGTAGAGGACTTATCCATTTACCGTTACTTCTAATCGTGCACTTACGTGGATTAGCATTTTATCAACACAATCACTTGTATCTTTGTGACTATCTTTCTTGTCTTCCACAACGTTTATTTTTCTGTAGCCATCTCAGATAATTTAATACCGAGTAGGCTATACTTCAGCAAATTCACACGCAGGTTCTACGTTCGTCCCTTGTGCTATTCTATAGTTGAATATTTTATAAACAGGAGAAAATATCTTTCGACAAAGCCTGAATTTTGAAATATTCTTCTATGTGTAATGTAACTGTACAGGCAGGTG